GAAATGTGGTCCCTTTGTTGAGGAGCTCCCATGGGGGGGGGGGGGGGGCACGGGCGAATCTTCAACTCCCAGAATCCCCAGCCTGTACTGCTAGTGACCAAGAACGATGGGAGTTGTAGTCAAAGACCTCCCTGTGGCAACTGGCTCCATGGGGGAGAATCCATCCAGATACTGACCCAACCCAGACCTCAGTAAAAAAAATCACCCTTTCAGACTTACGAATCTCACAGCCCTTGAAGCCACGGGCTAGGCTCGCTGAGGGATCTATGGCAAGTAACGTTAAAAAAAGTTAAACTCTTTGCTAACCAAAAGTGCTGGGTGAATTCGGGCAAGTTGGGAGGCAGACAACTGCCGACCTCCCTGGCCCAGAGATGTGTCAGCCAGAGATGGCTTGCAGGAACGGAACGATGCGTTAGTAGTTACAGTAACGATAACGACGACGGTGGTGCAGTAACGGAATGACTTCCGTTGCGGGATGAAGTTTTCCCAGAGCTGCACTGTCCGGGGGCTACTTTGTAAGAAAAGAACCCGCTACGGCCCGATTCGTTGGTTCGGTTCATTCCAACGCGTTAAGGGAACGGCACCGCTCCGCGCACGTTCCTTCTCTTAAGGAACCAACCCCCGTCATTTCAGCGCTACCGACGCCCTTCCCCGCCAGCGGCCTTGCCTCCCTTCCCACCGAACTCACTTGGACGGGGGGCTACAGTCCAAGCTACGCCGCGGGCGCCTCTTGGCCATCTTCGTTCCTTTCCGTTACTTTTCAGCCGCCGCCGCTCCCCGTTCGGGGCTTCGAGCGCCGCGGCAGCCCCTCAATTACGAACGAGCCAATCCGCTTCCGCCTTCCCCCCCCCGAACCAGCCAATCAGCCGCTGCACCAAGCCTGCGCCTGCGCAGTGCTCACGCTTTCTTTCTCAGAGGCGGTTCTTCGGCTATTATGTTCGAGGAAACCCGTGCCGGAGGGTTGCTTTCCAGAGACCGCTTCCGGGTTGAGTGAGGTCTACTTCCGGGTCCTGCCCTTTCTCTGGGTTTCTCTTTTAGAAGTGTCCTGGCAAACGTAGCTAGGTGGGATCCTCCTCCTCAATCATCATATTAGAACTACAGAGCTGGAAGGAACCCTATGGATCATCAAGTTCAGCCCTTAACAAAGAGGCACAGTGTGTAATCAAACTCCCAACCTCTGGCTCCACAGCCAGATACCTAAACCACTGAGCTATCCAGCAGTTCTTTTAAGATACCATCTATTTTTTAAGTATTCCTGAAAATCTCAAAATATTATACTTCACATTGTTTAACAGTGTGAGCCAAGTAAAAAGCATCTTTAAAGTTTGTTTCTTTACATATTTGCTCAGAATAAGTTTATTTATCCACAGGTAAATGTATAGTTGTTTTTAAGGAATCGTATAGATTTTATTTATTTTATTTTATTTTATTTATTTCAGCGAATCAAGCCCTTGTCAAGGAGGCACAGTGCAGGATTCGAACCCCCAACCTCTGGCTCTGCAGCCAGGGAGATATATATATAAATGAATTTAAGTATAAACATAAACAAGATCTTTAAATCTATAAATTTGAATCTATTTATAAAGAAGAGAGAAAGGAAAAATTGGAATGGTAATAGTAATTTAGAGTGAACCTTGTTGACTAGGTGTTTTATATAAAGTTTAGTACTGTCAGGATTTAAATGTTGAATATTCCATGGTGCCCCCTAAATAAAAGATGTTTTTAAAGCTGCTAAACAGAACAAGATGAAGAACAAAGAGAAAGAGCTCTTCCGGCATTGCAATGATTAACGGGTATATTTCTGTCAAACTTCTATGGGTGACGTGCATTCTCTTATTCCTGAGCACGAAGCCATCAAAATAAATACCTGAAGATGTCATTAAAATCTTAATATTTCCAAGGAGGCAGCAGTGTTAATCTGTTGCAGCTCAAAGCAACAATTTCAATAATTGTTTATTGTTTACTGTTTATTGTGGGATATTTTTTATTTTGCTATATGTATACGTTTTTGCATTTTTACCTGTCTGGAAGCCGACTAGAGTGGTTGTATTGACCAGCGTGGATTGAAGCCACAGACCTAAATGGAAACAAAACTGGTTTATGGAGACGGGTCAGAATGAATCAGGGCATGAAAAATTGCAACTGTGTTATCCACACTGGTCATAGACATTCGTGGGACGTGGTGGCGCTGTGGGCTAAACCGCAGAAGCCTGTGCTGCAGGGTCAGAAGACCAAGCAGTCGTAAGATCGAATCCACGCGACGGAGTGAGCGCCCGTTGCTTGTCCCAGCTCCCACCAACCTAGCGGTTCGAAAGCATGCAAATGCGAGTAGATAAATAGGTACCATCTTGGTGGGAAGGTAAACAGCGTTCCACTAAACAAATAAGCTTTTGTGGGTCACAGTCTGTTTCGTCAGAGGCGTGGATTGAAGCCACAGACCTAAATGGAAACAAACTGGTTTTTGGAGACGGGTCAGAATGAATAATGGCATGAAAAACTGCAACTGTGTTATCCACACTGGTCGTAGACATTTAAAGGGATGTTCTCCATTTGGGTGGAATGTGAAACCTACGCCTCTATGGCTTGAAGAGCGGGATGAGCGCCGCCCCCTAGAGTCGGACACGACTGGACAAAAATTGTCAAGGGGAACCTTTACCTTTACCTTTACATAGACATTCAAAGGGATGTCCTCCATTTGGGTGGAATGTGAAACCTACGCTTCTGACGTGTTTGCAGTCTGCGTTTTGGGGCTCGCTTTTAAGAAACAGATCTACAGTAGCACGGATACCTGCCGTGACTTCTTGGGACTTTCAGATATGTTTTTCTGCACTTAAGCATTCCTCCTCATTTAACCTACATATCCTAAATTCAGCATTGACCCAATAGATATAGGTAGTGTATCAGTGTATATAGCCAATGTCTTATTGAAAACCTGTAAGACTAAGGCATGAAAAAGCAACATATACCATCATAAAGGTGGTCTCTGTATTTTCTCTGCTGTAAGCCAGTAAATTAATTAACAGTGTTATGTTACTTTCTGTTCGGGGTGAAGGACATTCTGGGTCGGGAACAGGAAGGACAAAGCTCATCACAATCGGAACTGATCACCAAATGGCTACGAAGTGTGTCATTCGAAGTTACATTATGAGCTCTGCTTACTTGAAAGAATCTTGTCTTTATATTTTTCTTCTTGGTCTTTGTTTCCTTTTATGTATAAATGTTCACAGGCTGTAAGTCATTGCTATGGATTCCATAGTTACATGCTTGTGTGTGGGTATGTTTTCTCTGCTAGCTTAATAAACAGCTGTACCTGTACCTCATTCCTCCAAGGCTCTTTTTATAGATTAAAAAAGTTCTGAACAGCGTCATCCACAGTATCTTGGTACCCAGTCTGACGATCGATATAGATGAAAGTCTGGCATTTATATTTGTATTTTTAGTGGTCTAATAAAGGTATTGCCTGCCCTTCCGTTTGTATATAAAGAAGTCGTTTGGATAAACATTCATATCTGTTCTTCCCTGTTTGATTCTTACAACAACAACGATTCTTCTGTGAACCCTATTCCGATCCACATTTAAGCTGAAAATACTTGCATTTAGTTGTGGCATGCTTCAGCAAAACCCCTGCTAGTTTGCGTACTTTTGTAAAATTGGATGGTAGATTCAGTGGGAAGCCAGTTCATTGCGTAAGACATATTGCTTATGAAACTTCCAAGCTTATTCTAAAGATAGCCTCTGCAGATACATCCCCAAAACACACTGTATGGGCCTGAATGCATCCCATTGCATGGAACAGCTGGCATCTGAAGCTGCGATTTTTTGCCCCAGCTCTCAGTCTGGTGTGACGTAATTAACTTCATTGCATGGAAGCACTAGGAATGGTGACATGTGCAGCTGACACAGACTAGGTAAGGTAAAGGTTCCCCTTGACAATTTGTCCAGTCGTGTCCGACTCTAGGGCATGGTGCTCATCTCCATTTCCAACCCATAAAGCTAGCGTTTGTCTGAAGACAATTTTCCGTGGTCACGTGGCCAGCGCAACTAGAAATGGAACGTTGTCACCTTCCCACCGCCTAGAGTGGTCTTAAGTGACTAGATAGGTGGGATATAAATTAAATAAATAAATAAATATCTATTCACATTTTGCATGCTTTCGAACAGTTGTCACCTTCCCACCGAGGTGGTCCCTATTTATCTACTCGCATTTGCATGCTTTCGAACCGCTAGGTTGGCGGGAGCTGGGACAAGCGATGGGAGCTCCCTCCGTCGCATGGATTCGATCTTATAATTGCAGGTCTTCTGACCTTGCAGCACTGAGGCTTCTGTGGTTTAACCCGCAGTACCACCACGTCCCAACACAGACTAGTAGTCATATCAAATAGGGCTTATGCAAACTTCCCAGCATGCAAAATATGGAAATAGTAGCTGTGCTCTGATCAAGTAATTTCATAGTGGTTGCTAGAAAAAAACAGCTAACGGCCACGCTTGCTGTATTTGGCCACTGCAGTACCTTGAACTTCCCAGCATGCAAATTATGGAAATAGTAGCTGTGCTCTAATCATAGTGGTTGCTAGAAAAAAAACAGCTAAAGGCCATGCTTGCTGTATTTGGCCACTGCAGTACCTTGTGGACATCGCTAGATGGATTTTTAATTCTTGACAAGCAAATTGCAATATATGGTTGTAAGCGCAGCCAAGTAAATCCAATCCAGGTCTGACTATGACCCGGTAAGAGGAATCAAAACAGTGGTTCGCAGCAAGTGGGATTGCACTGTTGGTGGGATCCAGAATCGGCCTAAATGAAACAAAGGGATTTCAATGTGATGGATCAGGGCCATCACTAGGGATCCAGTCTTCCTCAACCCTGTGTCTTCGTACAAGCAAGGTTCTGGGTCTGAGTCCCAATTCAAAGTCAGAGTCTTTGTTACCAAATCCTGAGTCCAAGCCCTAAGCCAGAGTCCCCATTAAATGCAACCTTTTTCCCCCCTCAGGAAAAAGGGAGAGTGGGTCGGTTCCAAGTTGCGTCAAGTCAGAGTCACTGGAAGAAAACCTGAGTCAAGTCGTGGCTGGTCTTAGACCGTAATAAAGTTTTATTCTATTCCTGAGTCAACTCCAAGTTGAGTCACTGATGCAACTTGAGCGAGACCCATGACTGAAGTCCCCATCTCTGCCTGCAAATGTGATATACCATTTCCTGCTGAGCCCACCTGCTATGAATATTTGTGACTTCTGAATGTGCTGAAGAGTACCTCTGGATGTTCGCCCTAATCCCCCACAGCCCCTGCCCACCAATTTACCGTAGTTGGTAATTATAACAACAGAAAACCATAAATATCTTTTAGAGAAGGGGGATTTTTGTTTCCGTCTCTAGTGTGGCTCTGGTTCTTTCGTAGAATAATTGCATGTCAGATACAGAACAGCGATGGGCATGAAATGCTGGTTCGCTGGTTCGTCCCGGTTTGTCTACTGGCCAAATAGGTGTTCAGTGCTGCCAAGCTCTGCCTCCTCTGGCGGTCAGCCATTCAGAGGCAGCACCCGGAAGAGGTGGAGCAGGGAAGCCAGGGCACTGCTTCCGAGGGGCTGCCTGCCAAAGGGGGCAGGGCGCAGAACTGTAGATCGCCTGTTAGACAGGTAAATGAACTAAACGAATGAAGTGCTCATCTCTAATATTATAGAACATTGGAACTAAAAAGAAGTGTGTGTGTGTGTGTGTGTGTGTGTGTATGTGGGGAACTAGATGGATGTAGGGATGAAGAGGTAGAGAAGAGCACATGGATTCAAATCGCAGCTCCTTTGCTAC